CCCCCCCCAAAGCGTCTAACCATCACCCGCAACCTGAACCCGACCCATCTCCACCCAGCAGCTGACCATCTGTATGACAGCATCCTCCCTCTGTCATGCCCTGACCTGGCCACTACTGCATACGACTGTCAGCTGCCCTTGACTCCCTGGCACTCCTAACCACACGTAGCATTAGACCCCGACCGCTTCAACCCTGGCAAAACATCCACACGAAATGCCTCAAACGACACAGTCGTGCAAAACCAGATCCCCTCCCGCATTCTCCCTCTATAAAGCCGTCTACCTCGCCTACACCACTTCCCTCCATGCCGCCAAGCAAGCCTATTTCATAACCCTTATCAACATCCTCTTCACCTGTCCTCGTCAGCTCTCCCCCCGCACCCCCACGAGATTGCCAATCACTTCCAAAACAAGATTGACGCAATCCGTAAGGACATTGTCAACTCACAATCCACCTCTCCACCCAGCCTCCTTCAACCCCTCAACCCTCCCGACCTCATAGTTGCACCACCCCGCACTATACCTAATGCCCCGCACATCATCACCTCCCCAACACTCCGCTCCTTCAGCCCAACTACCCCCGAGGAGGTCTCTAAGGTCTTCGCTGAAGCCCGCCTCACCACCTGCCCCCTATCCCCTCACAGCTCCTCCAGTCACCCCCCATCATTCGCTCCCTCACCCACATCTTCAATCTCTCCCTCCCCTCTAAAGCATGCACACATCACCCCCATACTCAAAAAACCCTCCCTTGACCCCATTAACCTTAACAACCTTAGACCCATCTCCTTGTTGCCCTTCACTTCCAAGCTCCTTGAGCGCCCACCTCACTGATAACAACCTCCTTGACCCCCTACAGTCTGGCTTCCGTCCCCTGCACTCCACCAAAACCGCCTTACTCAAAAATCACCAACGACCTGCTAACCACCACAGCCAATGGCCACTATTCTATCCTCCTGCTCCTTGACCTCTCCGCGGCCTTTGACACTGTTGACCACCCTCTCCTCCTTGCCAAACTGCACTCCCTTGGCATCAAGGACGCTGCTCTCTCCTGGTTCTCCTCCTACCTTCCCAACGCTCCTTCAGCGTCACCTACAACACTGCCACCTCCCCCTCTCTGTCGAGGTCCCCCAAGGCTCTGTCCTCGGGCCCCCCTCCTCTTCTCCATCTATACCTCCTCCCTTGGCAAACTTATTCACTCCCACAGCTTAAATTACCACCTCTATGCCGACGACACCCAAATTTACCTATCCACCCCCCCACTCTCTGCCCACATCGCCCACCTCCTAAACGAAATATCAGACTAGATGTCGCTCCATTTCCTCAAACTTAACCTATCCAAAACCGAGCTCCTGGTCTTCCCCCCACCCATCACTACTAACAACGCCACCATCTCTCCCACCCCACACGCCAAAGTCCTGGGTGTCGCCCTGGACTCCCACCTCTCCTTCCTACCCCACATCCAACTGCTATCTAGATCTTGCAGGCTCCACCTCCGCAACATCTCCAAGATACGCACATTCCTCACCCCAAACAACTCGTACACTCCCTTCATCTCACGCCTGGACTATTGCAACTCCCTTCTCACTGGCCTACCCAAACGAACGCTATCCCTACTCCAGTCGATCCTAAACTCAGCGGCTAGACTCATCCACCTCACCAACCGCTCCACATCTGCCTCCCCCCTCTGCCAATCCCTTTATTGGCTCCCGATTGCCCAACGCATCAAATTTAAACTGCTAACTCTGACCTACAAAGCCATTCACAATGCCACCCCAAACTACATAACTGACCTGATACCCAAATACTACCCTACCCGTGCCCTCCGCTCCTCACAGGACCTCCTACTCTCTAGCTCCCTGGTCTCCTCCTCCCACGCCCGCTTGCAGGACTTCTCCAGGACCTCCCCCAACCTCTCAAACTCCCTACCCCAATCCATCAGTCGTCACCTACCCTCCTCTCTTCAGGCGCACCCTAAAAACCCTTCTCTTCAGGGAAGCCTACCCCAACCTCACCTAACAACTAACCTCCTGCACTCCATCCACCACAGCCATCTCCTCCTGTACCACCTTCCCCTCCCTCCTAGAGTGTAAGCTCGAAAGAGCAGGGCCCTCAAACCCCTTGTGTAGGGTACTGTTACGGTCTTTTCTCATGTTCTGTCCCCCTTGCTACTGTACAGCGATGAGCATACCCTTTGGCGCTATATAAATACTGTATAATAATAAACTAGTTAAACAGGAGCTCCAGTCAGCTATCAAAAAGTAACTGACTGCTACAAAATACTGCAGCTGCTAACTTTTAACACATACCAACACTTACCTGTCTAGGGATTCAGCACTGTCATCACCCAAGCTGGGTCCTTGGCATGGGCATCTTATGGGAAGCTGGCTGCAACTTCCTGGTGTTTCATAACTGGGATCCCACTGTGCATGCATGAGACATACTGCTCTTACTCAATAATCCCGCAGTCTCCTGTGAGATATGTAATGTGTCCCAGGAGGTTGTAGGCAGAGAGGGGGATGGGCCAAACAGGTGCAATACCTTTCAGAAATAGGTACTCTCTCCAAGGAGGAGGAAGAAAAAACCAGGGTTACCCTGTATCTCTAAATATTACTGTAAAAGACCAGGGTTATATTTCAAGCTTAAATGGAGGTGGATACCCAGGCATGACAACACCACAGGTCGCACATTTTAAAAAGGCACTTCTGCCTAGAGTTCTTATAAGGTATTCAGGTGCTTCCTCCCACCTTTATGCCATGAGTATTCATGTTGAAAGAAGACAGTAAAGTGTTCAAATGTTAAAAAGAAAATAATAAACTAGTTAAATAGAAGCTCCAGTCAGAGAGATATATATATATATATATATATATATATATCTATCTCAGCAGCTACAAATACTGCAGTTGCTAACTTTTAACATATGCCAACATGTACCAGTCTAGGAATTCAACACGGTCATCACTCAGGCTGGGTCCTTGCACCCCTGGCATGGCCATCGTGTGGGAAGCTGGCTACGACTTCTTGGTGTATCACACCTAGGTTCCCAGTGTGCATGCATGAGACATGCTGGTTTTTCAGAAGTAGGTTTTTTTTTTTTTTTTTTCAGAAGTAGGTGCTCTCTCCCAGGAGAAAAAAAAATTTAATAATGTGGGCAGGAGGGAGGATGAATGGAACCTTGTTAGGTGAAGCTCCACTTTAAGCTAAGAGTGTTTTCTCACAGGGAAGAAAAAAAAAAAGTCCATCACCTCAGGACACTAGCAAATCGCAGAGGATTCACAGAGTGGGGTAGGGTTATAAGGGAGGCACCCAGTGGGAGAAAGCTTGCCAGTGTCCAATTACATAAAAGTACAAGCCTACAATCCAGGATATGCTATTACTTTGCCTGTGTCCTGTACTATATGATTAAGATAAACGCTTCTACTAAATTGTAAATATGGAGAATTTATGGTGACTGTCAATAAATCCATCAAGCTGAATAAACAGATTTTCCAAAGCCCATATTTATGCCCAAATTATTCCCTAATTGCTAAAATACTGCAGGTGAGAATAATTATAACTACGCAATCGCATAACAGAGTATCAATGTCCAAATATTACATGGAACAGGCCAAAATGATTGAGTACAACACATCAAGATGGAATATTCTACATGCACAACTGCTCAAGGCCTCATGCACCCTGAACTTTTTTTTTTTCTTTTTTTCTCCTATCTTTACTAGACATCGGTACTCCTAGCAATGGCATTTAAGCAGAAAAAAATGTTTGACACTTTTAAAAGTGTGTAACATGTTTAGCCTAGCATTTGGGCATTGATTCATTTAATCAGCCAGAGTAACAATTTATTCTGGCTGCTGAAATGAACACTCACGCGCTAAACGCACCAAACATTAACATGCATTCAATGTGACTACACGCTTTTACAGGCATCAAGCTTTTTTTTTTCTGCCAAAACGCCACTCCTGGACGCACTGGTAGTGGTTTTTTTTCCTGCCTCAAAACTCCTCTAAAAGCTTACGTGCACATAGACACATAAGATGGCATGCAGGGGTGATTAGAGGCAGGGAGAAAACAAAACCCCCCCCCCCCCCCCCCCCCCTCCCCGCTAGATGCCCCTAAGGAGCAGTTTGAAAAACATCCAGTGTGTATGAGGCTGAACATGTGAGAAAGAAGAAAAAAAAAAATACTTGAATTTTCTAGCACCTGCCATGGTTATTATGCAAGTAAGGGCTTAGCATTTGGTAATATGATCTCTTCTAAACAGACAGAACAGCCAAAGTGAATTTCTGCCCTTCCCCTTCAACAAATTTTCCATGAACAAAATCTTAGATTACTCTACTTATCGTTCCTAGCATTGTTGACATACAAGTATTGGTTCACTTAATCTGATTTTGAAAACACTTTCCCACTGTCAGACTGAGAAGGATAAAGGGAAACCTCTCGTCAGGACTGCAGCTCCCTTGTAATAATTCCAACAGAATACATGGGGTTGGAGAAAGTGCATTAATCATTTCTGAAAGATCAGAAGTGTGCATAATTAGACTGCAGAGAGACTGATGGACAGTTGAGAATTTCTAGCCTGTAAATATTCAGGTTCAGGATTAGGTTGTACATAATAAAAGGAAGTGCACACTGTTGTGGGTTTGGTGTGTAAATACATGTTCAGGATGAGATGTAAAAAGCCGTGAAAGGTAGGATTTGTCTAATGCATGCAACTCTGTGTTATATTACCAGGTATGTTTCAAATCCACTAGTAATGAATGAAAACACAGACGCACATGTTAAACCTTATTTCTTTTTTTTTTTTTTCTTTTTTTTTTTTTTTTTAAATAAAAAAAATTCCAGGAAAAAAAAAAAATAATTTAAAAAAAACCACAGAACTGGCCTATTTACAAGTTTTGAAAGCAAAAGTTCCAAGAGGTGTGGCAGAGTTCAATCAAAAATAGGGAGGTTGTAAAACAGTTTATGGTGGATGTTGGATGTGTAATGTACATCAGGTACAATATTTATGAATTATGGGAGTGCAGGGGTGGTGGTGTCGGAGTGTACGAATCATGTATGTGCATGTCTGTGGTTAATGAAGAGGGAGGAAATGAGGATGAGTTAGAAGAGGGATACGGTGTGGTAAATGGTGATACAGGCATTGTGGCGGGTGCATATATAGCTTGATGGACCACCTGCATTAACTGAAATTTGACATGAGGCAGTCGTTCTGGGCTAATACGCCTCATATCATCTCCTAGAGATACTAGGAAGCTGGAAATGCTTTCTTCCTGGCGGGCTGGCTCACGTTCACGGGCTTCTCGCAGTTGATCCCTCATCTCCCCCAGGACGGACATGACTTCTGCTGACAGGGGGTCAGGAAAACTGACTTTTTTCTTTGGCACTTTTTTACCCCGCTGTTGTGGAGATGGTCGCAGGATTTTCTCCTCTGTTGGGATGACAATGCTAACTGAGGAATCGGCCTGTTGGGAAGGCTCAGCCTCTGCTTCCTCATCTCCAGGAGCCTCAGCTACAGGGATGGGCAGACTCTCCTCACTCTCTTCTTTGATATTTCCAGATGTTCTAAAAATAGAAAAACAAATCATAAATGGGTGTTTCATAAAGTGTAGCTCAGTGAAAAACCACATGACTTACTTTCGTGTTGTCATTGAGGCCTTGAGGAACTGTAGCTTCTCAAAAAAAACGATGAATTCTCACTTTTTTAGCAGACCCAGTCCTCTGACTGCCCAAGGCATTAAGATCTCTCTTGAAGCGGTCTCGAAGACTCTTCCAGCGTATCTTTAGCTGGCGCTCTAAATAAGAAAAGAAATTTGCCCACTATACATGTACATACATAATCCCTATGATACCCAAGGATACTGGCAGAAATTACTTATTTTTTTTAGCACACAGACTATATACAAATGTGCTCATCTCCTGCATTGCCTAAGGATAACAACCCATGTAAATACATGTACATAGGGTGGAAATTGGTTAACAAAGCAGTTTAGTAGTTAGCACTAGTTTAAAGTGTTACTAAACCCAGGGCCCTGCATTCACTATATCAGGTCTCCCACAGTACACACAACATGGAAATGCAATTATTTTAGTAAATATAAATTGCTAAATACCTTTTCTCATCAGCAATTAGAGCAGTCTTGGGACTATCAGTGTCCAGCCGAGCACTGGTTAAAGCTTGTATGAGGAGTTTTCTCTAGGAGCATGTAGAACCCCTGACCTCTGTCTGGACAGTGCTGATTGGCCCTGTGCTGATCACAATCACTCTCCAAAGAAAATATAAAAAAAAACCCTCTCTAGCAATACACACCAAATTGAGCCTGTGCAGTGTCTCCACATAGTATGTCTTATCAGGAGATAAGAGGTAGACACTGGAAAAAGGGGAGGATCAGAGAAGTCAGGATCAAACAGCATTTTTACACAATGCAGAGGATTAACCCCTTAGGTTCCACAGTGAGTATAACAAGCATGCTTTACTGCATATACAGACTGATTTTACTGTTGTGGGTTTAGTAACACTTTAATTCAACCAAACTACAGAATTGATTTACCAAAAGCAAATGGCCTGTTCACTCTGCCGGGAAATGTTCTCAAAGTTTAGTGAATGAGGCGATGATCAGCCAATTTGCACCATCCAATCATGTGCAAGCAAGATTTTTTTTTTTTCTTCTTTAGAGGCGATTGGGTATTCTATGCCACATTCGTTAAACTAAAAGGGAAAATTCCTTTACAAAGTGTGAACTGAACGACCCATTTACCTTTAGTAGATCAATCAAAAAATAACATGGTAGGGTAAATAAATGTCCGATTTCAACCTTGACACTAGAAGAATATTTATAATCTGAATATTTTTGTATGGCTGGTCAAGACCTTAAGATCGTAAAATCTTCTTGGAAAGGACTGATATGTTCTTTGTACTCTGCTTAACATGCAAGAACTTCATAAATACCATTAGTAAACATTACCCATGAAAAAATTACACACTATTGCCACAGTCTATTACCCCATTAAAAAAAAAAAAAAAAAAAAATTATACAATGATAAAGATGTTTTTGATTTTGATTACGCACCTTGCAGCTCTCGCTCTTTTCTTGACATTGTGTGCCAGTGTGGAGTTACACGACGAGTCACTTCAACCCAAGCCTCCTTTTTCTTATAGCAGTCACTGTAGGATGCTAAGGAAGTGTCATACAGCTCTGGATGTTCCTCTATAGCCCGAATCAGCTCTTGGACATTAATGTTTCTCATCTTGAAAGCGGTTATTGTCCTAGGCATACCACCATCTGTAAAATGGTTACCACAGTATCTTGATGGTCACCAGGCAGGGACTGTGGAATATTTTACCACATAAAGCAGGTCTCCAGAGAGGATCAGATGCAGCCTCTGCCATTTATTTGACTGTGTTAAAGATAAACTCTCTTCAAACTTTAGTATGAAAATGCATACAGGTAACACAGCCTACCTGCCCAGGACATTTGTTTTAAACCTTGCATTGCTTGAGTACACCAAGTTACCCAGCTGTAATACAAATTTGATTATTCGATTCAGAAGTCAAGGATTCTCAACACCACCTATCAATGTCTCTCTGCAGTCTACAGATCATCCTCCAATTTTTATTAATGTCATGCTCCACCTCCATTAGTCTATAGAAATCATTAAAAACAGATTTTGAGGGAGACCGCACAGCATATGACTGGCAAGAGGCTGCATTTCTGCCTTCTCCTAGCCCTGTTTAATCTTGCAACAGAAAAAAATTATATGAAACTGAAACAAAGGCACTTGGCAATGTTTTCTGGGTATCATTAATACTTCATTGGTTGATTTTTAACGTGTTGACTGAAGCTGACTTTGACGTTTAGTATTCAACTTCCATTAGTGACCTGAAGATGCCATGATATACTGCAATGTACAAACTTCAGATTAATATCTAAAGTCAACATGGTTATGTAACATAACATATGTAACATTTAGGCTTTAGGTTGTGTGATCTCCCCTGTGTGAGCCAGCGCTGGCTGAAAGGGAAAAGGAGAGAGCTCTGTGATAACAGCTAGTAATACCTGGGAGCATGACATCATCCATAGGCTTCAATATCCCATCCATGGTTGGAGCTCCCTCCTCTCCCCTGCGCAATGCTGGTTGACAGATGGGAGAGGAATCACGTGAGTAGACCTGAGCAGCCTGAAAACAGGCAAGCATATACATTTTTATTTCACAGGATAGCGAGCACATGTGTTAGGAGGGGGACATATTTAAATAAGTGCATCTTTACAACAAAATCATTAAATGCACATTTTTTTTGCAAGTAAAAAAATATGCATTATTTTTTTGTTAGGATCCTGTAAAGCATTGCATCCATGATCAGATCGTGGGTGTAATGTCATGGTCATGTAGACTGTCTGTCAACCTGTTTGCCCGTACCTCCAATACGGGCAGACAGTTGCACAATGACAGGAAGCTCAATGAACTACCTAGAGAGCTTAACAGCACTCTGGTAGTTCATGGAGAACACCAAGCCAAAAGCTGCAAAGGTTGTCATTACATGTAGTTTTACCCTTTCACAGAACACTTCTTTTTTCAGGTTGAGACAGCTAGTGGGGAAAAAAGATCCCCCACTAGCTTTCAAAACGGGGGGGGGGGGGGGGGGGGGGGGGGGTGGGGGGGGGGGTGGGGGCAGAGGCCAGTGCATCTGTAACATGTTACACCCTGAATATGTGTGCAACATGTAATATGTTACAAAAGGTGAGCTCATCCTTTAAGGGTAGTTAGGATTATCCTGGAATTCCACTTTAAGGCTCAGAGCTGTGACTACATTTTCTCCAGGGTACAATCTACTGCTGAAATCTGGCAACCATCATACACAAAAGGTATATTTGTGTATACAAAGGGGGGAAAGGGGAAACTTAAGTAGTTGGCTAAGGTAAGCCATATATGATGCAATTTTCCTTACTGGAACCATGGGTTGCAGGAAAGAAAATAGCTCGATCCCCCCATCAACACAGCCCGTGTTGATGGGGGAATTCAATCCATTCTGCAGAGCTATTGTGTTCTGCTGGCAGGAAGCCTTTCCTGCAGAACACGATTACTGCCAATGGCTATACCCACTGGCAATAATAGCGTGCAAAAAAAATCTGACAGGCTGGTTTTAATGAAATTGATCGATGAACAATTTGCAACCCTGCCCATAGATGGATCAAATCTTGTCCGGTCCCTGCCAAGATTTGATCCATCTATGGCCTGCTTAAAGAGGAGTTCCAGATATTTTTGTGTTTATTAGAAGTCAGCAGATACAAAACTGTAGCTGCTGACTTTTAATAAACAAAGACTCATGCGTCCGAGAGTTCTCACCCATGCCGTCCCTTCTCCCCTTCTCTGCTCCACGGTGACGGTATCTCAACTGTGGGCACCAGGTTGTGACAGCTTACAGCTTCACAGCCTGGTGCCCACTGTGCATGCGCGAGTTGTGCTGCGCCTTCTAATTGGTCCGACAGTCAACTGGGACCTGTGAAGTGAGGGGGCCGAACTCCTGGCTCACTTCGCCGGAAGTGGGTAACCTGTCAAACAGGTATCCGCTCCCCCCCAAAAATTGCCAAATAATATGGTGGTGGAGGGGGGAGGAAGCATATAAGTGGAGCTTCCGCTTTTAAGTGGCACTCCGCTTTAAAAGGATAAGTTCACCTTTTGAACAAAAATAATAAATGCACATTTTTTTGGAGGTAAAACAATTTGCATTTATTATTTTTGTCTGCAGGAGCTTGTAAAGCATTGCACCAGCAATCACTAGATCGCTGGTTCCATGCAGGTCCTCCGGATGTACGAGCAAGCACATATACTGACAGAAAGATTCAATGAACTACCACGGTGCACCATGTAGTGCATTCATTCACATAACTCTGAACGAATGATACGGCTCTAAGGGCGCAGTTTTCAAATCTGACAGATAGTACTGGGAACTTCTCTCCAAAATCTATTACAGGGAGAGCAGCGGGCGGCGGCTGCAGCATTGGGAACATGTTACATGTTCCACCCTAAAATGTAACATGTTCCAAGAGGGGAACTTATCCTTTAACACAACTTGCAAAGTATAGTAAAGGTAAAGGCATGCTGGTGTTGAAAACCAGTGGTCTTTTGAACACTAACGTTTGAAGCAAACTGTATCTGCATTAAATTTTAACTTAAGACCCAAACGCAATTTCAAATAAACAAGAACTCTTCCCGTTAATTAGACTCCTATGACTTGCACATTTAAATACATAAATACAACACAGCAATGGCTACTTCCATATTTCTGTCCTGACACATTTCTTTAACAGTTTTACTGGGATGGATCAAAAAGGCCAATAAAAAGAGCTGAAATACAGCAGCGATTTGGTCATACATCCTCTGCTAACAAGTAGGAAAAGCCAAAGTTTCTGATCCTACACAGGAGGGAACATATAGCAGTTATTTCCATCATAAAAAGGTGTATGTCTAACATTTTTTTGCTGCATTTAATTTATACATACTAACAAGACTAAGGCCCCTTTCACACAAAAGGGTCTGATCAGGTCCATCTGTTAGTTTTTCAGGACGACTTAAATCGGAGCCACCATTATCCTCAATGGACTTGTGTACATTTACAACTGCCTACCTCCAATCCGATCTACTAAAGAAAGAAAAATAAATAAATAAATAAAAGGAGGTTCTGTCCTCCATCTAGGCAGCTCAGATTGGAGGGCAGTCGAGTGTGAATGGATAGCGAAGTGTCTGGTTTACACCCCCCCCCCCATAGAAACAGGGAGGGCGCTCGGTCTGTGTCCACTCTACATAAACTACATGGACACAGACTGGTCATCTGCCTGCTCAGGGGGGGATCAGCGGTAAGATCCCCTGCTGATCTAATCTGAGATTTCCCTTAAAGGAGCCTAAGCATTTGAAAAAAGATCTACCTCAGTTTGTTCCCTATGGCATCCTACTCACCTGATTTGATCCCCACTACCTACCATGACATTACATCAAGTGCCCTACTACTGTATACTAATCTTGACAGTATTTATATTGCTTTACATCATCAGAGCACTGCCAGCTTCCCTTACTTAGTATGCCGATGGAAAGGGACCTGAAGCTGATTGAAGAATCGACTCTGGTGAGGACAGTCCCTGGACAAGTAAGTGTCCTTATATTAAGTCAGCAGCTACAGTATTTGTAGCTGCTGACAATTTTTCTGTGGGAGACCGGAGCTCCTCTTTTACAGTCGTGCTCTGTTGTAAATGTGTTTTACAATTTTTTTTTGTTTTAACCAAGGCTCTGGCAGCTCTGTCTAAAATACTGGGCACCTTAAGGCATTAGCTTTGCATCTTTTCTAAGTCTGCTCTGTGCAGCTGGGAGCCCCTGAATTTCAGGGGACATTTCTAGGAATCCTCCCTGTGTCAATTACATATGGTCATCTCAACATCACCAAATGGAATGAGACATGGTAACAAGGTTTTGAGAAGATGGAATGGCATGAGTAGACACACCTTGTCTTGTGGTGTTTCTGCAATGTATTCACCAAACCGGTACAGGGTTTGACCACACAGGAGAAATAAAAAAAAAAAAAAAAAATGGAATCTTGCTACTCACCATAAATTCCCTTTCTCGGAGTTCATTGACGGACACAGCTCTTCCATTCTTGACCATACATTATAGAGCCACCTACAAGAGTAGGACACTAGGCAGAAAAAACACAGCACTGCCTATGGGCAGTTCTAGCTGGTATAAACTCCTACTCTGCTATAGGCAAGCCAGTTAGTCAAAAAGCAGTGTAAGAAAACAGAAAAACTTAAGAAGAGGGATGGGTGCTGTATTCATCAATGAACTCAGAGAAAGGAATTTTACAGTGAGTGAATTTTGTTTACTCTTACATTCATTTATAGACACAATTCCTCCATTCTTGACCCTAGGGATGACACAACAGTAGTGCCTCAATGAGGAATGGACGAACCAAAGAACTGGAACAAGCCAACATGCCAACCATCTACACAAACCCCTCAAAGGGGGGGGGGGGGGGGAGACAAGAAAATAAATAACTGCCTGCAGAACCTTGTACCCCTAGCAAGCATCAGAAGATGCAGACATGTCAACTTTGTAAAATGCGATAAAGGTATTCTCAAATGATCAAGCAGTCACGTCGCAACCGGAGACACAGACACCCAAGTGGCACCAATAGCCTCAGTAGGGCATGCTGTAACGGGAAGGGAGGACTCCAACCCTAAATGGCAGATAACTGAACACACGCTTGTGGAATCCAACGAGCTAAGTGGCAGAGGAGGCCACCAGATCTTACCCCAAGTCACATGTGAACACTAAGCAGAGATTGATCACTGGAAGAAGACAGCAGTGGACAATACACAAGGACCGCCTGAACGTAGTATACAGCAAGCTCCTCGGGGAGCAAGGGCCATGGCTACGGGGAAGGCAGGACAATATCCTCCAAAAGATGGAAATCAACACAAAATAACAGAGGAATGAAGAGCACAGACTGAGAATGACCACATTCCTGCGACAAATCCAAATATAAAAAAAAACTTACAGGACAAGGCTGTTTGCCTTGGAACCTGCCGAGCAGAAGTGCTGATGACCCAAAAGGAGAAAGGCGTACGTGGGAAATAACCTTACTGCCCTCAAATGGGGGCTGCTGAAGGACTGAAAGAATCAAGACCGGACCTGGTACACGGGGGCAAGAAAAAAACCACACAGGAGGTGCCACAGGCAAATCCCTAGGCTGAAGGTACACAGGAGCAAAGCAATGTCTGGTGCCCTCTTACGTCGGCAGAGCTGACAAAACATGGCTGGGTGTCAGGACCCCACCCCTAATCCAGCGTGGGACGGGGAACCTGGAACATACATGGCAGAGAGCGCCAGCAGGTACAATTTCACCCATCGAGGGATGCAGAGGGCCCTCCAGTGCCGCTGTTGCATTTTGTGCAGCAATGAGATGGCTGACCTAGGCCACTACTGTGACAATTTTGGATTATGATCCCATCCGAGCGTCCATGGAGAAGGACTGTCTAGCACACTAGACACAGCCAGCATTGTCCGTGGCTCCGGGACTCTGATGGGCAGACAAGTCTCTACAAGGGACCCTGCGCTAATCTCGAACCCAGCACTGCTCTAAAAAAGGATAGGCTGGCACCCATCAGGACTACCGTCCAGTGAAGATGCGACTTCCCGGCCTCTAGGGAGGGCAAATCAACACCTCCAGCAGAGAGCGAGGTCCTGGGCATTCAACCTAGACAAATCTTGTCATCCAAGGCAGAGGAAGGCATATCCCGGTTTGCCAGGCATTCCCTCTGCAGAACCAACATGGGGAACTGCACATATGGGATGGTCTCGAAGGTGGAAACCAAGAGACCCAGAAGTAGCATGCACAAAAAAACAAAACAAAGAAAAAACTGCTGCGGGGCAACAAGAGCTGGACCTTAGTCTGAGTGTCCAGTGCCTGTTCAACAGAAAGAGTGCACCCTGCTTTACGCCAAAGCAAGGATCAGACCCACTGGTAGCCATCTCTGGACAGGCATCATGCGGACTCCTGGATATACAGGCCCCATCCGAAGTCCTGCAGAGTGCACATCAAGATTTCAATTTCGTCAAGCAGAGCAAACCTTAGCTGGTAGAAGGGTGTCCAGGTAACAATTTACAGAAACCCCCCGTTGTCTCAGCAATGGCAGGATCAGGCCAGCACCTTGGCAATAACCCAAGGAGCTGAGGTCCAACCGAAAGGAAACACCACAATTGATAATGCTTTTCCCCAACCACAAAGCATAAGAAAAGCTGGCACCCTGCACTGATGGAATCTTGCAGGAAAGCATCCATGATGACCCTGTAACCCAGGGATATTTCCCAAGTACACAGGAGGATTCCAACATGGACTCCTGCACCTGCACTTTGCAGTTTGGAACCCTGAGTTCCAGGATCGGGTGAACCCTGACCAGCTACAAAAAAACAAAAACAAAAACCACACAACAGATAGAGGAGCAGACCGGAGCAGCTACTCCCCGGAAAACAGATCTAGCACCGCCCTGTACAGAGCCAGCAGATGGGGCAGGGAAGGCGAAGAGTGAACAGAATACAAATTTGTCTTATCTAGCAGAAATGTTTCTTCTGTAGCTGGACACATGATGCAGGTCATGTCCCAAGACATGAGAATGAGGGAGGACCCCAGGCCCTCAAACCAGCAAAGACAACCCCTATTCTGGAAATGGATAGGGGTGAGCTGACCCCCTGAGGGGTACCCATCTGTAGGTTTCAGGGCCTTGTGAGAGCCTGGGAGGGTCAGAGCCCCTGTCTGAGGCGCCAGAGGATCGAAAAGATCTCAGGGTGCAGAAAGGGAAGGACAGGGCTTAAGATACAGCTCTGCTCCCTTCATGGCTTGTGGGAGGAAGTACTTCTGTCACCCGTAAGGTGGGAATGTGGTCTTCACCTTCTACTGACTGTCTGGGTCTGAGGCCCAGCAGCAGGCCTGGAGTGCCTCACTCCAACTTCCACAGAGGCAGCCAATCATCGACAAAATAGCCATGGCCTTAGGCTACACAAATGTGGTTGCCAATCCAAGTTGACCGCTGCCTCCTGGCGTCAATCACAAAAGCAGGGCGGAAGCTCAAGGGGAATTTGCAATGCCCCTGGCCGCCCAGCATCCACCCTAAACCGCCACACTCTGCTGGTAATGAGCACCAGCCTGGAGATGATGGCAGCTGCCCAAAAGCAAGAGGGCAGTGATACAGCCAATGCAGAAGGCCACAAAGCCGCAGCCTAGATTAGTGACCAGGCCAACCACATGGTGCACTTGCTCACAGAAAATCACTCAATGCCAAATGGGAGGCAGCCCATAACATCTCCATCAGGCAATAAAGTCAATAATCAGATCCCCAAAAGTGCAGAGGGTTTCCACACTTCACACCTCCCACAGCTGTCGGTACTGTACCCACTGGAGAAGGAGAGGAGGGTATGCACATAAATACAGATGCACTCAAGCCCAGGGAGTCCCCCAGGCAAACCCAGGGGTCTGCATGTTGCAAGAAGATGGGCCCCGCATCCCAGGAAGGGTGAGGGTAAGTATGAAAACTACACTGTAGGCCAGGAGGGAAAAAAGAAAACCCCACAAGGTTGACTACCCTAGGGAGTACCCGTGCTTCACACTGCATCCGGGGAGGGGGCATCCACTTACCGATCCAGCGGAGCATGCGGGTAAGGCTCAAATCCTCTTCACCGAAGTGTGGGGGTCGACGGCCAGGGTAACACTGTGACATGGACTCCGGCAACCAGTCATAGGTGTCCCCCGCAAGATGTTTAACTTGTCGGCCACCCAGGCCCAGGCTGGGGCTTTTCACTGCCATCCAAGCACACAGCCAGAGGTCTGCATACATTTGGTGGCCAGGCTGGTGTGACCACTGTATTTATATTATCCAGCCCAGCTGTTGACAGAATATCTCTGCAGGAAAAAAAGGCTATGGACCCACATGTTCCAGCAGGAAACCAGGCCCTTTCTCCTGAACACTAAGCAGAAACAACTGGCTTGCCTATAGCAGAGAAAGGGTTTATATCAGCTAGGACTGTCCATAGGCATTGCTGTGTTTTTTTCTGCCTAGTGTCCTACTCCTGTAGGTAGCACTATAACTCTATGTTCAAGAATTGAAGAGCTGTATCAGTCAATGAACATGAGGGAAAATGGCTATTCTGCCTAGATGTAATATGGCAAGTGTTTTCTGATCAGTTATACAGTATATGAAAGAATAAAACAAGTATCAGGGTGAAAGCCCCTCCACCAAACACAGGTCAGGAATATCAGCTAGAGAAACTGCAGGTTCAGCTCCTGTCAAAATCCCTACAGGCTGCTACAGAAGCAAATAAGCATAATACAATAAAAGTAGAATCTCTTTTGAAAACCGACTCTTCAGAGTAATAATATTACTATAAAAATTCACAACTGAGAAAACATCATAAGGAAGTAGGACTAAAAACTGGGTTGTAGGGTCTGAACAAAGAACATGTGTGAATGTCCTCTTATATTTAGTCTTTATTACTCACCTGTATTGATATCTGGAGAGAAATCATCTTCATCAATCTTAAGACGGTCATTATGGGCACGAAGTGCTGGGTCTGAATCAACCACCACAATATTTAAGTCTTCCTCCTAAAGGCAAACACAAAGCATCTTTTGAAAAAATTTTCCGTTATAAGAAAATTGATTCATATACGAATTTGATGGGATCATAATGACATGTCGCTCAATGCTTTCAAATTCCATATCAGTTTCTGTCCTCTAAAAAGGGACCAAGTCTTTAGTCTAACCAGAAGGCCAACTTGATCAGTACCAGGTCTTTATTTAAACTGTGTACTAGAGTGCATGTAAAGTGTCAAGCACAGCAGTTTTCGGTTTTAATGAAAAGATTAAATGGATAATTAGCATGTAAGGTATCATCCAAAAATAGCCCAAAGGGAGTGCAAAATTCACACAAAGAATATACATCTGCTACCTACTACAAAATAGCAAAATTAAATCAGATAAAAACCTAAACCAAAAAGATTAAAGAAGTTTGGGATTACAAAAAAAAAAAAAAAAAAAAAGAAAAAAAAAACTTACATATTCACACAACATTGGTCTGATGCTGCAGCTATCCCCTACTCTAACACAGAGCGACCACATGACCACTGATTGCTCAGTTCTTTGTCTTCACTGAGCAGAAAGCAGTGGCTGTCATTCACCGGCTCTCTTGCTTTGCCCCTGCAGCATTTACTAGAGTGCCGGGCTGTAGGGGGGGGGCAGAAGAGGCTGGTTCATACTTTCAGCGTAGTGCTGAGGAGGCGGGGCCAGCTGCCAGTCAGGCATCTGCGTGGACCCACACAGTAAAGTCAGGGGCTCCTACAGAGCCTGGTCCGGCTCTGTGACATCAGCCAACAATGGGTTTTAGCCCACTACCCACTTCCGGTTTCTGGGTATTGCACAATGACATCACATAGCTCTGCGGGACTATGTGACGTCATTGCACTATATCCAGAAATCAGAAATAAAGGGGTTTTTTTTTACTATTGATGTGATGGATTATAAGTAACCACCTCTTCAGCTATGAACAAGTCCCCATGAGCAGATGGCTTATCTGCAGAGTATTACAAAACCTTTAGCAATATACTATTGCCTCGCTTACAGGCCCATTGTAATGAGGCCGCAATCAAAGGTTAATTTCCTAAAGAGATGTTGCAAGCCATCATCATGCTGCCCAAGCCAGGGAAAGACCCTACAGAACCGCAACATTTTAGACCTATATTCCTGTTAAACACTGATCTCAAGATATTTGCTAAAGTGTTAGATAACCATCTGGCTGACATTAACCCCTTATTAATTGCTCCAGATCAGGTGCAGAATGCTTGATCTACTAAGGTGGGCTGAATTAACTAAAGGTACCCTCGGCTTTCATAGCCTTAGGTGCTGAGATACCTCCTGTTGACCCAGTCAAATGCTATCTGCAAGCCATACTATGCAAGTTTGGTTTTCAGGGCTTTATCTTATCAGCCATTATGGCATTGTACTCTCAGCATTCTGCAAGGGTCTTTAAAGAGTTCTATATTATGCCTTCAATATTGAAAATGGCACTAGGCAGGGGTGCTCACTGTCACCCCTAATATTTCCCATTATTATGGAGCCCTTAGCGTAAACAATCAGAAGTGACCCTGTCAACTCAGGTATCCAGGTTGAGAAAAATCACACAAAATTTAGTTGTTTGCTGATGATGCGATTTTGACTTTATCGAATGTGTACAAATCCCTGACTAGCATTCAGGAAGTAAAAAACTCTTATGGAACAGTGTCGCACTACAAAGTAAACATCTCCAAATGTCATGTTTTAATGGTGGGCTGTTCACGAAGGCCGATTGCTGGTCTACATACCCAGTTTCCCTGTTCTTGGGAGTCTAAAAGTATAAATACCTGGACATTCAGTTGGCCCCATCATCTTCTCAACTATATAAAGCCAACTATGGCAGAATACTTAAACCGATCAAAGCGGAGTTAACACAACTTTCTAAATTTGAGTTGTCATGTTTTGGGCCCACAGCAGTATTTAAAATGGTATTGTTGCCTATGATTTTGTACCCGTTTAGGACGGTTCCAACTGTATTGCCTACTACATTTTTTTTCTACACTCAATATGGCTATCAAAGTGCTATAAAATGGGGAAATCGGAAAGCGAGGATACCCTTTTCAATATGGTCTAAAAACAGATACAAGGGAGGGGCAGGGCTGCCAGTATTATACTACTTCAGAGCCTTTTTATTGGACCAACTTAGGTTTTGGTTTACTCTCTCGTATTAAAAATATTGGGTTTCTAAGAACAAGCCTTAGTGCAACATGGGACCTTAAGTCTTTTTTATTAGCTGCAGCTACTAAACAACCCGTACACGTCTCGGACCACCCATCGTTTACGGCATCCCTGGCAGCGTAGCCAAGCTTGCTTCAAGTAAAGGTCAATACTAACAAAATACACCTCTACTGAATTACCTCTGCAGGCTTACGACTAATTCCATTGTTCTCTACTAAACTTTTGAAGAAGACTAGGCGATATCACACTACAGGATGTTCTCTTAGATAAGACAATAGTAGACCACTATAAAATTAACCCAGCTTAAGCGTTTCCAAACATTATACCCCTTGCAACAAATTTTTATAGATGCAGCTGTCTGGAAATACTATAGCGATACACTATCCCTTAAGTGGGAATTGCATTGTTCTACTCACACTTACAAGTCCCTACACAGAGTGGTAAATCTCCACCTATACTAAAATGGGAACAAAAGGTGGGAGGAGTGGTATCAGAAAAGGAGTGCAGTTTAGCGTTTAAGCATGCATCAACAGTGACCAGGAGATCATTAGGATAAATGCACTGAAAATACTTCATAGTCGGTATCTCACTCCATGTACTCTCGAAAACGTACCCACATCTTTCAGCTGAATGTTGGAGACAATGTGCATATAGAGGTATTTTAATTAATCTACTATGGGAATGAAAATCTATAGCAAACGTCTGGAGATCCGTATTTGCCTTGATATCGGATATTACTGGCATTCTCAACCTGCCTTTACCTCAGCTTGCTTTATCAGGGTTGATGACTGACCATTTTCCCGAACAATTTAGGACAGTAGTCTTGCATATTTTGATAGCAGCATGACTTAACTATAGTGAGTTAGAGACAGACCCTAGCCCCAAACCTCTCGGAAGTAATCCAGAGAGTTGTTTATATGAATATTTCTTTCCAAACTTTGAAGGTAAATGTCTACAATTCTATAAAGCTTGGGGGCCGTGGTTGACCAGATATAATCAATGGGATATCCATTAGGCCTAAAGCAGGTAAGAGTATACATTATTTAGCTATTTAATGAGTGTTCTAGAATAATATTTGGCTGAAAGGGTGATGTGGAACAGGCAAGTTCTATTTTTGGCCTACTTATGACCTTTCTTTTGATGATTCTTTGTTGTTGATAGCACAACTATTACTTGAAGGGAGACATGTATATAGTTTTAATTTAAGTGATATGCTTTATTATGTTGTGCATGTTGATGTCTTTGCTTGATGCAATTTTTGAAAAATGTTAATAAACATTTATTGAAACTAAAATCTTATGTAGTTTCTATTTTCAAAGGGTTTAAAGTATCAAATGTAAAGAATGTGGTACCAGTATATCCATCCATTATTGGAGGTAGTTACCCCCTTGGAGCTCCCTACCTGTTTTTGGTGTGGTGCAATTTTTAAACTAAGGTCAGGGATGACTTTCCCTGCATTTCTGCAGATGTGAACCTGTGAGGTTGGAGGGTGGTAAAACCACGCAATTGAGCTGCTTTTACCACCCCCAACTGCTCCCCCTTTAGCTGCAGAAACAGCAGCTGGAGGTATACACATGCTGTTGCTGCAGCTGGAAATATTACCTTCAGGTGAATGGAGCTGAACTACAACCACCCCGCAACTGTGTGCGCATTGTTGTGGTGTGGTGATTGATGCTGGGGTTAAACCAGGTGGTGAGGAGGCAACATATGGTCTCTTTACCACTTGTCAAATGCCTCTGAAAAGCGATCTGAGCATGGATTGCTTTTCAGAAGAGCAGCAGTCTTTGCTGCTATTGTGAACAACTCCTAAAAAAAGCAGTTCTGATAGGACAGGAATAGGGGCTCGAGATTAAAAGTAAAAACACACACAAACACACATGTATCCAGCATTATGAAAAGTTACAGTACCTTAGCTTCCATCACACAGCTGGGTACTGCACTCTAGGGAGAAGCAGAGAGCACAGAAGACACTCCCCTTCCCTTTTGCTTTCACTTTGCTCAGCGGTCTGACGGCTCCCAGTGCTGACGTGCATTGCAATGGGGATCGGGAGCTCTGGCTCAAGTGACAGCCATTCTCCCCACAGCACCCCTGAAGACCTCTGGCGGCACCCTGGTTGAGAAAGACTGATCTAGAGACTGAGGGCATCTGTCCCACTTGGTCAGCACACTGATATACAGAGGTCTGGAATGAGATGGGTAAACTTCACCCCACACCCCCCCCGCTTCATTGCGAGGAGGACTTCGTGCCAGATCTGGCTTGTTTGGACATCCAGGGCTTGCGACAGAACTTAGTGGAGGACTTGGCTTCAGAAGCAGAATGGTCCAGAAGGTGGGGATGGCACTAAGCGCCAAACAAAAGCATACTTCGTTCACCAGAACCTTAATGGTTTCCTTTAGGATGGAAGAGATTGAGAAAGTTTGCATATCCTCCCAGGAAGAGTTCTCAGACTTAAGGATTCACCCTCTACTTTCTAATCTTCTAGGTAAAAATTCGGGATGCAAAGTTAAAATGATTTTTTCTTGAAGGATCACGCAATATGGCTCTGCAATCAATAGTGCCTGGATCACTTACTTTCCTAGAAGAGACCAACGCCACCAAGAGGACTGTTTTCAAACTTAATACTAATAGTGCAGTCTTTCAAAGGCTCAAAAGGGCTATTTTCAAAAGGCTTGCAGTACAACAAAGATCCTATGACTAAAATCTGGAGCGTGAGGTTTTCCATCTTCTGCTTATAGATGTCAAAAATCTCTTGATTAGAGGGTCTTCCACCAGATGTAGGTCTAGAAAGGGCAGCAACCTAAACTTTTATAGTGTTTGG